CGTGTGTGTGTGTGTGTGTGTGTGTGTGTGTGTGTGTGTGTGTGTGTGTGTGTGTGTGTGTGTGTGTGTGCCGATGAGTGTTTGCCTGTGTTACTGTGCACTCCAGTAACTACGGGCACACACGCTGGCTTATTTTACCCTCCTCTGCTCGATTTTTGGAAGAAGTGGTGCGGTAAATATATCGTTCTGCAGTTTTCCGCGGCGGAGTGAAACATCTCCTCGGGCCTGCTAATGAATCATTGACAACACCCACAGAACCGCTGTCCTAGGAAATTTACATCCCCCCATTAAAATGTGCCTTAAAAGGACACGAGCCTTACAGCCTCAAATGGGCTTGGAAGTTTAAGACAGATCGAACCAAAAAAAAAAACGACCCGCACCAAGCCTGAGGTGGAAAGGCTTCTCTGAGCCCATAACGGACTACAGAAATTATAATTAGCTGATAATGAAACGCTGATAAGGGCGAGAGGAGCTCAGTTGTTTCAGTTTACAGAAATTCATTGTACTCTTGGTTTGTTCCGTGGTGTGAATACATACTGAGATCAAATTATTAGCGATGCCCCCAGAGCACTGTGGGTAATCAGAGTATAAATTAAGGCGGAAGTTTTCATCGGAGAGTGGATAGGCCTACTGGATATTTGCAATGATCTGCTGTGCACGTAATAAAGTGTTTCGAGTGGTGCTCAGGCGAAATACAATCATTTGTGGTTTCTATCTAAATAGCTAATTCAGAATGTAATCTCAGTGTATAACAGCACAATGTATTGATACAGTTATTCTTCAGTGTTCAGTTATCATTATGATTCCAGATATTGTAGAAATCCTCCCGTCCTGGATTCATCAATAATAACAAAGTGGAACATTTACACTTTTATTCAACTTGGGCAAAGACAGTATTTTAACTCACGGAACAACATATAGTTATATCGTCAATATCCCTTTGCAAACATAGATGCCTCCATCCAGTTTTAAAGTTTTCAAATTGACACACCTATCTGGCATTACAAAGCGATGAGGGCTGGGCAATATGGAAAAAAAATCTAATATATAAAATAAAAAAATGTTTACCATATAATGCAACATCTATATTGGAACCATGTTGTTGACTATTGGTACATTCATTCAAAAGAAATATGTTAAAATATTTATACATCACAATTTCTTTTAAATAATAATCAGTAATTTGGATAAGTTAACCAAACCATATAAAGTCAAAAATCCAAGACAATAAGTCAAACCATAAACATTGTGAAGTATGTTTTATATATATTGATCAAGCTGACCGTTTTAATTTTGTACAAATCGTGTATTGACTTAAAAGTGTTGCAAACCAAAAATAAGAAAGTTGTTTCTGGTCCACACATTGTGCAATCTTTCTGTATCAAGTCATGTTTGGGATTGGATTTCTCTCCGAACAAAGAAGACAGGAAGTTATAAGTGTCAGTATACGAGAAAACATGGGAGGAAATGTGTAGTTCATGACATGCCCATTGTTCATTACATTAATATTACAGTGGAAACCATAGCTAACAACCCGTATCATCCATCTCACTGCATTTTCATTTAGAAAGTAATGACCGAGGCGGCCATTGTATTTACAGCTCTTCCTGTTTGTCTGTATGCATTATTGATTCAATCATAAACAGCCTATGTCATGTAACAGTGACAACATCACACAATTATTCCATTCTGCTGTTTTCATTTAGGCTGATGATCTGTATGTTTGTGTCGATATAAACCACCTCTCTTGGGTAAGATTCAGTGGAAATATAGAATAGAAGAGTTTCTCCATCTTTATTTGAGACATGGAGGACAGGCTGTGCCTCGAGTATACAGACATCCAAATGTGCACAGGGGGAACAGATTGGACCTCTTACAGACACACACATCTTTCATTACTCCTGCATGTGTGTGCAGTATAGGTAGGTGCAAGGACATAGTGAGGAAGGGAGGAGGGAGGGGGGGGGTCAGAGTAGAGAGAGTGAAAGAAGAGAAAGACTAAACACACACAGGGGAGACAGAGAGTGAGTGAGCAAGACAGACCGAGAGAGACAGGGGGATCTTGGCCTTTTAACGTCTCACTCCGCCTACTATCCCACGTGTGTGCGTGTGTGTGTGCGTGTGCGTGTGCGTGTGCGTGTGCGTGTGTGTGTGTGTGTGTGTGTGTGTGTGTGTGTGTGTGTGTGTGTGTGTGTGTGTGGGAGATAATGAGTGTGTGTGTGTGTTGGTGTGTGTGTTGTGTGCGTGCATGTGTGTGTGCGTCTGTGTTGTGTGTGTGTGGTGTGTGTGGTGTGTGTGTGGTGTGTGTGTGTGGTGTGTGTGTTGTGTGTGTGTGTGTTGTGTGTGTGTGTGTGCTGTGTTTGTGTGTGTGTGGGGAGTAATGAGTCTTGGTCTTCACCGCAGGAGTTTTCAAGCAGTCTAGCTAAGTCAGCAGCCAGCTCAGGTCTTCGGGAGACAGGTGAACCTTAGTGTGCTGTGTGTGGTGTGTGTGTGTGTTGTGTGTGTGTGTGTGGTGTGTGTGTGTGTGTGTGTGTGTGTGTTTGTGTGTGGTGTGTGTGTGTGTGTGTGTGTGTGTGTGGTGTGTGTGTGTGTTGTTGTGTGTGTGTGTGTGTGTGTGTGTGTGTGGTGTGGGTTGTGTGTGTGGTGCGGTGTGTGTGTCCTGCTCGTTCATGTATTGGGATTGATATTTAGCATTGTTTATAAATACCACATTTCTTTTAAGGGCCATTAAAGGGTGGGATAGCGTCCCCAACCCCCTGCAGATGGACACTCATAGCCCCTTGTTGTCTCTTTCCTTGGACAAGCGCCCATGTTTGACCTCTTGCCGTTCATTCTGGATCCCAACTGCACGTGTGAAGTTGACAAAAGTGCAAATACTCTCCACCTTTTTTGTTCCTTTTTGCGATACGAAGCACCTAACAAGGTATCCCTTTAGAGTTACAATGCTTACGTGTGTTTTTTTTTGGGGTTTTTTTTGGGGCGTCGTGGTGTGTGTGCGAAGACATGCAGTTGGTTAACTCGGTCTATCAATGTCATGACAATTTGTAAGTA